GGCGCTCGGTCATGGACCGAACGCCTGACAGTATCAGGAGAGAGGAGGGGACCCGGCGGCATACCTTATCGTGCTGGGTGACTGTCCCCTCCTCTCCTGCCGGCGTCCATCACCAAGATGGCCGCCGGCAGGTAGAATACTGCTGCACGTGCGCGATTACATCATCGTGCATGCGCGTGCTGACGTCACGCACATGCGCAGTGACGTCTCGGCGGGGTGACACTCGGTTACCGCTCCGGGTGTCACCCAGCCTCGGGACGCCCCTGCATAATCTACATCTAATCTTAATACGGGGAGCTTCCCAGGGATTCACTCACCTCCTGCAGGGTTTTCTTGGCACGGAGAAGAATTTCAGGATACACATCCCTGTACTCCTTTATCACATGCTTTATAATATCTGCAGAGAAAAGCCAACAATCAGCTTGGTAGGTCTTGAGGGTTGTTTCCAGGATTAGACCAAAAAAAAAAAAAGAAGAACCTTCCATCTCCCATGATGCAGTGCAATCTTTTCCTAGTCCATTACAAACAAGATGTGCTGCCGCTCAGCAATGGAGGCGACATACTTATGGCCACATCCAGTTATGAATGAATGGGAAGTGATCTACATAATTTCCTGTTCATTCATAACTGTGGACATAGTGCGCACACGGTGTCCACAACGTATGAATGAACAGGAATTCTATAATGTATGATAAGCAATGTATGAATGGACATTATAAAGGATTCCTGTTCAGTGCTGGGGCTGCTGAAAAAAAAAAGTAATTTTCAGTTTCAGGCCGAAACATTTTTTATTTTCGGTTTCAATCTCAAAATTCCATTTCGGTGCATCCCAATTTGTAACCAATTTATTTTCAATTCTGGACTATAGAGATTAGTGTGTGGCTCGTCTTCCTACTATTCCTGAACATAAAGCAATGAAAAGTAGACACCCCCCTCCCCACATCAGATAACAGATCGTACCCGCCTTAGAATAAATACTAAGACCACACTGCCAGGGCCCCAAATGTCATTGTATGGAGAGAGAACCCCTCCTCCCCCATCCCTGCCTTACCAGACACACACCGGCCTCACCCTGTAATCAATGATAAACCATTTGGGCAGATAACATACCTGCACGCCTAATTGGCAGCTTTTTCTGGTCCCTTATGAAGATGTACTGTACCAATTCGCCAACCTGCAACAACATAGTAAGATCATCAGTATTTTAGAAAGAGAAGGGGCACTTCAGATGACTTTCACAATATTGAATTCAAGCACCATCTTCAGACTTTTGGGGGAGCTCCGTCCTTTAAGAATAAGAATTTCCTGATAAGAATAAAGTGAACTGGTTTGTGCATGGCTTAGTAGAGGACGTACAGAGGAATGAGCTATGAAAGGCAGCAGAGGTCACCTCTGAGATGGAAACTGTGAGATGAGCGGTGAATGAGCTCCACATCAAAATCTGAATTCAGTCTTGTAGCAGGGGGAAGCTTCTAATAAGTCAGTTTCCAATTTGCCATCGAGGATTGCTGTATTTAGTTATTTTTCAGGGACTTTCATAATTCTGCCAAAAGAACATTTGTGAGGTTAGGAACTGGTGTTGCATGGGAAGACCTGGCTTATATTCATTGTTCAGTTTCAGTGTGAAAAGGCCTCGTTCACACTGAGCAATTTATCGAGCGATTTTTGCAGCGATATCGCTCAAATTTCCACGCGATATCGCTCTATGTAGCTCCTCCAATCCATTTCAATGGAGCTGTTCACATCTCGTCGCTGGTAGCTTGTTGCTCCTACATGACCCTTTTTTCGAGCAATTTCGAGCGATATTGCTCCTGATTGCATACAGCCCAATAGGAAAAAGTTGCGCGACACGTTGCTCAATATCGCTCAAAATCGTGCGATTTTCATGTCGCTCAGTGTGAATGGGGCCTCAAGGTGTCCAGTAGGGTGTAGGTCAGGGCTCTGTACGTCTTTATGGAGTCGCCTTTGTGCACCAGAGCTCAGTCTTGCGGGAAGAGAAGTGGCCGTTCCCCAAAGTGTTGCTACAAAAGTTGGAAGTGTACAAATGTCTCAAATATCTGTATCATCAGCAGTACCCTTTATTGGAAACTCATTTAGTCAACTCAAGTGAGATCCACATGCTTTTGGGCCATGTAGCTTATGTCTGTTTGGAGAGTGAAGGGCCGAAGATTCAGCAGTTTCATTTTTGGGGTCTTTGTGCTGCATAAAAGGATTTGAAAGAACGTAATGTTCTCTCCATAGCAGTTAAAGTGACACTGAACTCCGGAGATAAATCTTAAACGCATTCAAGCACCCCAACTATGAACAACAATGCATCTTATTTATTTGTAGAACACTCGGCTGTAGATCCTCCAATCATCTCTGAATTGGTGCTGAATTGGCCTTCCTTCTGGAGGGGGGCTACTTTTGTCCCCCATGGACCATGTATGTGTGTTGTAATGTAGCACC